AGTAAATACAGGAAACAGGTGCTGTGGTCTGGAATAGTGGATAACATGGAAAATTTAGTCCTAACATTTGTATTTTATCTGGTTAATATTTCACAGTTTATACACGCTGCAACACTCCAGAATGCAAAGCATTCTCGGCTACAGCAAGGTGTTCCACTCAAACCTATAAACAACCATAAACAAACCGCTCTGAAGTTTGTTTGAAACCAAAGAAAGATCAGCTCCCCCAAAGGGTTTCAGTGCGGTTGCTCTGGTCTGCACCCAAGTGCGATTACTTTGTTCTCATAAACCACATGAGGAGAAAACAAAGCAGCCTTAGGGCTTTTTTTATGGTTGCCACGTCGCTTGTGTCGTCTCGTGATAATTTTCACTTCACATCTTGTGCCATGTTGGTCGGTCGTGCACCTCTTGATTTTTGCGACTTGGTGCGTTGTGCTCGGCTGAGCTTGTCAAAGGAACTTTACAAATAAAACAAAACACTTTTGACAAAGCTTTGGTTTCCGGGTTTGACTTGACGCATATGACAAGATAGTGTCTGAGTGGCGACACCTATCATTTAGGAGAATACTACAAACTTCTTGCGCCTTAACTGCAGGCATAAATGGCTGCATCTGTGTGATGGCGTGGCAGTGAGCAAAGCGACCACTGCAACAGGTGTATTGGCACATTAAGCCTGTTCATTTTCACACAGTCTGGTATTATTTGACATTACCAACAGAAACAAAATTCTGAACTTACGCTTTCCACAGTTGGGTCAACACGAGCTCTTTTCTTGCGTGGAGGATGGGTTGGATCTCCCCCTGAACTAGTCCCTTCTCCTGCTCCAGGAGCTGCACAGACACAGCTTTAATTAACTGCCAATCTTGCCTTATAATGAGTCAATTTTAAGAATCGCATTTATAAATTCTAACATTGTAAGACAATGTGATGTACTTACTCTTCTGTTTGTTCTTTTTGGTTTTCCTACAAACAAAGAAGAGCTAATTAAGTGTGAAGTGTTAATATGAAAAGCAGTTTGGCAGCTTATGTTACAGAGGAAAACAAAACAAAAACTCACACATCGTTTTTCTGCGATGCAGCAGGTATCTTCTTATTTGGCGCTTGACCCCTCATTTTTCCTTCTACATAATGGTCTCTGTATTAAAACAAGTTCAGATATTCAGGAATACTTAATTTGTACCACACTCACTACACTACACTTTCACAAGATTTAAAAATCACTGTAGCACGTGACCCAACACAGTTTTTGTAGTACTATGAATAGGCATGAAACATTAGTGTTGGCACTTGCATAAAGGGATTTAGTACACAAATAAAAGGGGGGGGGGGGTTCTAAGTGGGACATTTACTCGAGCATAAAAATAACAGATTAATGTGTAAATAAAATTACAGGAAAATATTCTATTAAGACTGAATGTGCTTCACTTGTATAGTGACTCCATACAGGCCCATTGTGAGCTAGACTAAAACTCTGTTGTGTCCCAATACGTTTAAAACATAGCACACATTGTGTGCTACTGAAATTAGATGAAGGATTTTGCCTAACTTGCTCCAACAGTCATAAGGAACTCACAGTCAGTTCAAAGTCGATAGTGAAAAGAAAAAGTATTGACGTACTGATTGGCCCTCTGAAGCTCTCTCTGTTTCTGCAGATTACTATCCACATACTTAAGCACCCTGCTTTCAGGAACCCATTCGTCCCAGCTGGAAGACACAACATCAAAAGAATGTAAGCACTTGTTAAACAGTTCCTGTGCAAACGTTAATCGGGATTTATTGGAACCAAAAACTTACTTCTTATTCCACCCACTGTAATGAATAAAGTATTTGATTTGTTTGTCCTTGATGTTTATCTTAACACACTGCAAAGAGAGGGATGACTCATTGTCAAACACAGACACAAAGAAGACGACTGAATGAGAGACACGCTTAATTAAGGCAGCTTACCTTAGCTTCGTAGAGCAATGGCCCATGAAAACACAGCACTCTTTCACCTGAAAAGATAACAAAATAAGGACGTGAGTAAGGCATTGACAGGAGAG